CCTGCTTCGGCAGGAGGGTTGGACTAGATGACCCACAGAGGTCCCTTCCAACCCCTACCACGCTGTGATTCTGTGATTCTGTGAAAAGAAGTTAAGATTGTCCATTCCATATCCATTCTGTCACTATCGTTACTTACTAAGATTTCTCTTTAAAGTAATGATTTGTAGAATTATGAAAATGCTGAAAAGAAAATCACAATTCTTTGTAGATTTTCTTGTTACTCTGCATCTTAAAACTCCTGGGGTAGCTTTAGTAGATAATAAGCATCAAGTTTAGCTCCCAGTTTCAACACAGTTCTCTGCTTATCAACTGCACTGGTGCCAGCACTGAGTTACCATTTACAAACCAAAGGAAATACACATGGCCAAGGCAAATTAAAGTAAACAGAGGAAAACAAGCTTAACATCTTCTATAACTCAAACGATCTCAAGAACTAGTAGGAATCCACTTCAAAAAATCTGCCAAAGGCTTTTATATCTCTTATTGAAGCAAAAATATGATACATTTCTAAAGTTTTGCTTCAACAGTAGTACTTAGTTGCACAGTACATTAAAGTCAGTGTACAGTTTTTGCCATTATACTGTAACATCTGTAAACTCACAATTATATTGCATCACACAAAAGGTTGTGAACCCTCTGCAATCCCCATTATATCTACTGAACGCAGCAGAGTGGAACTAGCATGTTAGTATAGGAAGTTAAGAGGCAGTAGACATATTGGGTGTCCAGCCCATTTGATAAGCCCGTTCCAATGTCCTCTTGCAATCCTGTAGTACGGTACTGAAGGTTATATGTGGATACTGCTGCACGAGCTGCTCCACTGTGGCTTCATTCACCTGCAATCGAAGAAAAGAATCTGTGATGCGCAATAAGTGAATAAAAAGGGCAACGTTACGTAAGCTGAATGAATGATCGACTCCTGGGAGGACTTGCAGGATTGGGCTCTTCACTGATACTATAGGTCTGGGTGCATTTATCGCAAAACAAATATACAGAATGTAATGTTCTGTTAGAGAAAAAAACCCACACCTCAATTTTATTGTTAATGGGGGAGTTTTATATAAGATACCAGTAAACAGATTTGATTACTTGTGATAGAAAGCAATCAGAAATGACAAATAGTCTCCATCTGAAAACAGCTTTATTTAGAAAACTGCATCAATGTTTAACAATCTATTAAACTATTTTCATTCCATGCTTGACTATGCTGGCCACTCACAGAGCCCCAAACCTAATTATTCAAAGAAAAGCCATCCCGTTTAACAAAGTGCTGCCCTGAGTAACATATTTCTATCTCAGAATAAAAGCATATTTATTCAAACTCACTCAAGCAGGCATAATTTTGAAATGTAAGATATTCTTGGCTTTGGAAAATGAAAATTGATTACACCTATCAATTAATTTATGGCACAGTTATGATACTTTTACACCTATTAAGTAGTAACTCCACAACTAACCTTACTGAAATGAACTTGCTCTGTACGGTGGCTATTAATGTGGTTACAATGAAAAATAAGAGATAACATGACCAAACATGGGGAAAGGAATGCAAACTATTCTATACTACAGGGAGATCAATTTACCAATTACAAATATAGGTCAGCTTCTCCAAAGGTTAGAAGTCCTGCGTGCCTTCGCATACATTACTGGTAGAAGTGAGGAAGAAACAAAAATTGTAGCCTTTTTGTGTGAGGCTAATACTCCACAAAGGGTTTTGTGGGCAGAAATGGTGGGATCAACAATTAAAACACACAAGCTTGTCAGGTCTGGGATGTTCCTCCTAAATCTTAGACTTCAAAGTTAGCATCTTTATTCTTGATTAGACAAGCCAATCAGACAAGACGAGCTAAATCTAACACTTTTACAATTGCGGCACTGTGAGGGGATTAATTTGTCAATTATTTTTAAGCTGATTGCAGTTCATATCACAGAAGTAGACAGCTTTCTTCAGCCTTTAGATAAATAAAAGATTAACCTAAGAACCATAACTTCTAGGTAGCTCTCTTTGAAATCTTTGCTGAACACTTGGTTATTTTAAAATGCATCGATATTGCATTTAAATACTAAATCACCTAAATCAGTAGGATGTACAATAGGTATCATTGTTTGTTTTTTCCCCCACAGTGTTCCACATTCAAGGCCAAAAGTAAAAAACTCGACTAAAACGTTTACTACCGTTACAAAGCTCCATCTGGGGAATAACATTTTAAAGCACAGTGACCACAATATCTAATAATATTTTTGTCCTTAAAAGATAACAAGAAGCGCATCCTTCTGAACAATGATTGTACCCAGTGACAAGGATAAATGAAAGGTTTAATATCCAGTTCTTCTACTTTGATAATAGAAACACTCAATCTTCATTGGAAGTTTCATCTAGCTGAGACTGACTTGGATAGAAAACTGGTTTAACTTCCCTTCTTAGCACAAACTGTACTCTTTCAGCAAATTACTACGTTACGGTAACATCTTTTAGTGCTGAAAAACAAGAAGTGACTTTTAATAAATCAAAATGAAATCAGAGATAGCACAAGTCCTCCAAAATATTTGATATTTATAGCTGAATACTTTCAAGCTGTCAGCAACACTTCACAGAAATACTGCTTGGAAGGGAAGAATTCCGTAACATAGCTGTATTTCCTACTTTTTGCCTATGCAAAAGTACTCAAAAGCCTCTTTAAATTTGTGGTGCAGAGCAGCACGGCAGAATCTATCATACCACAGGAAACTTCTCTTAATGGTTAACTCAGCCACAACAAGATGCTTACCACAGACAGCTGCTCATTCTGCTCTTTCTTAATGGGAAACTTAAAGAAGAGATATTGTTTATCTACTAGATGTCTGCAAATATTACTAGTAGATAGAGGTTATTATGATTTGACACATACCTGTTTGTCTTTATTTGTTACAATAGCATGGACATTATGGCTTTAGAGCCAATATCATTAGCAGATTTTCTGTTACCAGAAACAAATTGGGCAAATTTGTTACAAAGATAATATTCAAACACAGGAAGATAGGTAAAGATCTCCATGTCCTGGTGTCTCTGACTCAAGACTGAACACATTTACAGAAGCTACAGTCTAGTTAGATATAAGCTAATGTATTTACTACAAAGCTACTATTTACTACAAAATAGCATGGCCCACAATACACAGGAAGACAGATGATGTTACAACAGTATCTTTTAGTCTGAAAACCCAAGAAGAAATCTACCATAAACCATCTAGAACTAGCCATTTGTCCTATGTTTTTTCTGATACAATTATTTCTGGATAAAATTATATTTGATACAATTTTTACTAATTGCTATCACTACTTTAATAAACAGGAGAAGGAAACTTCTGGTACCGAGTGCCAAATACAGTTACAAAATAAACATGAGCGTTAAGAAGGCAGGTAAAACCACTGCAGAAGTGACACTGACAAAATCACCTATTTTATAACCAAAACCTCAACAGTAGAAGGTTTTCTGCATTTTTGCTAGAGTGTTAAACGAACATTCCAAATTATTAGTTTGATCCTAGACAATAACTTGAGTGGTATTAAACAGCAAAGTAATGACAAATTCTATGTACACATTTGGAACCGTAACAGTTACAGAAAGTAATTACTTTGAGTTTAAAAAAATGAGTTTACTCTCATGATAGAGGAAAAAATTATCCTCCCAAGCTTCATGATAAATGATCAAATAGATGTAATTTTTAGTTAAGTGTAAATATTTTCAATCCCAAGAAAGTAACAGCAAATAGTTGAAAATTGTGCTGGACAAAATAAATTCAATGTAAGATTACACAACAGAAGAGGGAGAAAAAGGATCCTGTTTGGCAGTCAGACAACCTACATGGATCTCAGGATGAGACACAAACATGAACAGTTAAGCCACAAATGATCCCCTATCAGAAGATTTTGAAAGCTCTTCTTTTACCATGAGAAAAGTCAGGTCAAACACTGTAACACTGCAAAATTTTTAGTCTTTTAGACTTTCTGTAGTATTGGACTAAAACTACACTATCTAAAAGGCAGGAAGATAGAGAAATTAAAATTCTGTTCTTTGTTAATGAACGAGATAAATAATATCTAAGTCAGCTCCCTTAGTATCCTTGTCATCAATTCCCCTAATGGTAGGATTAAGATTAAAAGAAGTCTTATGCCTAACTGTTACAGAATCACAGAATCACAGAATAGTAGGGGTTGGAAGGGACCTCTGTGGGTCATCTAGTCCAACCCCCCCGCCGAAGCAGGGTCACCTACAGCAGGCTGCACAGGACCTTGTCCAGGCGGGTCTTGAATATCTCCAGAGAAGGAGACTCCACAACCTCCCTGGGCAGCCTGTTCCAGTGCTCCGTCACCCTCAGAGGGAAGAAGTTCCTCCTCATGTTCAGACGGAACTTCCTGTGCCTCAGTTTGTGCCCATTGCCCCTTGTCCTGTCACTGGGCACCACTGAAAAGAGCTTGGCCCCATCCTCCTGACACCCACCCTTCAGATATTTGTAGGCATTTATAAGGTCCCCTCGCAGCCTTCTCTTCTTCAGGCTGAACAAGCCCAGTTCCCTCAACCTCTCCTCGTAGTGGAGATGCTCCAGTCCCCTCACCATCCTTGTAGCCCTCCGCTGGACTCTCTCCAGTAGCTCTTCATCCTTCTTGAACTGGGGAGCCCAGAACTGGACACAGTACTCCAGATGAGGCCTCACCAGGGCAGTGTAGAGGGGAAGGAGAACCTCCCTTGTCCTGCTGGCCACACTCTTCTTGATGCACCCCAGGATCCCATTGGCCTTCTTGGCAGCCAGGGCACACTGCTGGCTCATAGTTAACCTGTCGTCCACCAGGACACCCAGGTCCCTCTCTGCTCTCCAGCAGGTCCACCCCAAGCCTGTACTGGTGCATGAGGTTGTTCCTCCCCAGGTGCAGGACCCTGCACTTGCCCTTGTTGAACCTCATCAGGTTCCTCTCTGCCCAGCTTTCCAGCCTATCCAGGTCACGCTGAATGGCAGCACAGCCTTCTGGTGTATCTACCACACCTCCCAGTTTGGTGTCGTCAGCAAACTTGCTGAGGGTACATTCTAACTCTTCATCCAGGTCGTTGATGAAGAAGTTAAACAAGACTGGGCCCAGTACTGACCCCTGAGGGACACCACTTGTCACCAGCCTCCAACTAGACTCAGCGCCGCTGATGACAACCCTCTGAGTTCTGCCATTCAGCCAGTTCTCTATCCACTTCACTGACCACTCATCCAGCCCACACTTCCTCAGCTTCCCCAGGAGGATATCATGGGAGACTGTGTCGAAAGCCTTGCTGAAGTCAAGGTAGATAACATCCACAGCTCTCCCTTCGTCTACCCAGCCAGTCATGTCATCGTAGAAAGCTATCAGATTGGTCAGGCATGATTTCGCTTTGGTGAATCCATGCTGACTACTCCTGATAACCTTCTTTTCTTCCACTTGCTTGATGATGGCCTCCAGGATAAGCTGCTCCATCACCTTTCCCGGGATGGAGGTGAGGCTGACCGGCCTGTAGTTCCCTGGGTCCTCCTTCTTGCCCTTTTTGAAGATTGGAGTGACATTGGCCTTTCTCCAGTCCTCGGGCACCTCTCCTGTCCTCCAGGACCTCTCAAAGATGATGGAGAGTGGCTCAGCAATGACATCCGCCAGCTCCCTCAGCACTCGTGGGTGCATTCCATCGGGGCCCATGGATTTGTGGACATCCAGATCGCTTAAGCGATCCCTCACACAGTCCTCCTCGACCAAGGGAAAGTCGTCCTCTTTGTAGGCTTCTTCTCTTCCCTCCGGGGCCTGGGATTCCTGAGGGCCAGTCTTAGCACTGAAGACTGAAGCA